CCCCCCCCCCCCCCCCCCCCAGCTCTGTTCTTTCCTCTCTCCTTACTTGGCAACTCTCCCTTTCCTTTCCTATTTCCCACTCCGTGCGCGCAGGAGCGCGCACACACACCTAATTTGAAGGCAGGGAGTTTCTGGGTGGGTGTATCTGCTGCCCTTTTGTGGCCAGAGAGGGTTAAACATTTCCTGTCCATTACCTCATTCATTCTAACTATAACCTTATTAAATAGATATTGTCACTCTTGTATTTTCATTTTACAGGGGAGGAGACAGGCTTAACCACCTGAGGCAACGGAGCCCACCTTTGTTCACAGCTCGAACAAGTGGGATCTGAAGCGCAAGTGACTGCAAAGAGTTCAGAAGTGGGACTGGCGGGAGGTCTCGGTTACCACGGCCCTCGACTACCTCCGTTGCCAAGCTATGTTTTGGAAGGGGTGGTTGGGAAGCCCCAGGAGGTCATGGTAAGTGGAATAGGGCTGAGTGGAGACTCCAGAGCCAGTGACAAGAGGCTTTTAGGTCATAGAGGGAGGTTTGTGTGGATGAGTTTTATCACCACTTCCTAGCTTCTGATCAGTCGGGCTAGTAGTAGTTTTAGAAGGCTGAGTGGAAGCCTGCTGAGCCAAGGCATTTTTCCATGGATTCCCTTAATCCCACTAGGCAAGGTGGTGAGTATATCAACACTCTTCAAAGGGAATTGACACCCTTCAAAGGAAGTAATGTCCTAAGGGCCCGATCCAATACTAGGGATAGGACATATTTATTATAACAAAAGATGATATGTAACAGAAATATGGGATATGGAGTGTAATTTAACGAACCCCATGGACGTATCAACCAACCCAAGAAACAGAATATCTTATCTGTACGTTTTTTCCTTGCATCTTACCTGTACGCTTTTTCTTTTTCATCCTTTGCTATGTGAAGCCAACATTTTATTTATTTTTTTTGCTTTGATTGGATTTTTATATACTTTTATCAAGTGTGAGGAGGATCCCCCCCAAAAAAGAATTCTTTTTTGGAAGGGTTTTTTTTTTTTTGAGTTGGAATCTCACTCTGCTGCCCAGGCTGGAGTGCAGTGGCACACTCATGGTCATTCCAGCATCGACCTGCCAGGCTCTGGAGATCCTTCTGCCTCAGCCTTCCAAGTAGCCAGAACTACAGGTATGTGCTACCTTGCCCGGCTAATTTAAAAAACAAATTTATTGTCGAGACGAGGTCTCACCAAGTTGCCCAGGCTGGTCTTGAACCTGCAGACTCAGGCAATCCACTTGCCTCGGCCTCCCAAAGTGCTGGGATTACAGGCTGAGCCACTAAGCTTGTCCTAGAAGGGGATCTTTAATACTACAGGCTTTCCCCACTAGATACGTGTTCTAGGAACACATTGGCATTAGCGTACCTACTAGCATTGTTGTGAGAGGCTGCATTCAGCTTCAATGAATTTTTTTTGTAGATTCTTTCAATGTGTTTGTCTATTTCATGATAGGTAATTTACGAGTGCACCTGCCCACAACTGCACTGAGTGTTCAGCAGTCAGCAGTCTTTAACTAAAAAACGGCATGACCCCTGTGCTTCACCCTCCCTATCTCTCTGGAGCGCCTTTTTTGTTTGTTTCCCAAGATGATAAAAGTCCTCAGAGAGAAATGTTTTGCTGACGTGGAAGAGGTGAAACAAAAACGGCAGAAGCACTAAATGGCATCAAAAGCAATGAATTCAAAACCGTTTCGAGCGGTGGGAAAGGCATCTTGATAGGTGCATCAAATGAAGAGTACTTTGAAGGCGACTGAATTCTAAACACGTAAGAATAAATATACAATTTTTAACAAATAAATTCTGGGTTTTTGGGCCCCCCTCATATGTATTATATGTTTAAACAATAAATATTGTTTAGATTTTCTTGCTTTCTGCCCTGTAAAAATGATATCATATGTGGTTTTCTGGAACTTGCTTTTTAAAAAGCCATCATTATGTTTTTTTTTTTTCTGAATTGGAGTCTCACTCTGCACCCAGGCTGGAGTGCAGTGGCACGCTCACGGCCACCACAGCCTTGACCTGCTGGGCGCAGGTGATCCTTCTGCCTCAGCTTTCCAAGTAGCTGAAATTACAGGCGCGCACCACCATGCCCAGCTAATTTTTTAATTTATTGTAGAGATGAGATCTCACCAGGTTGCCCAGGCTGGTCTTGAACCCATAGGCTCAGGCAATCCTCTCACCTCAGTTTCCCAAAGTGCTGGGGTTATAGGCGTGAACCACCGCTTGTGGTCTAAATCTAATACTTCTATTCATAAATACAGAATTGCTTGCTACTTGTTTGTAGCTTTCTTTTTCTTTTTTTTTTGAGTCGGAGTCCTACTCTGTCACCCAGGCTGGAATGTAGTGGCACGCTCACGGCCACCGCAGCCTCTACCTGCTGGGCTCAGGCGGTCGTTCTGCCTCAGCCTTCCAAGTAGCTGGAACTATAGGTGCACACTACCACACCTGACCTATTTTTTGATTTGTTGTAGAGACGAGTTCCAACCACATTGTCCAGGCTGCTCTCTAACCCCTGAGCTCAGGCAATCCTCTCGCCTTAGCCTCCCAAAGTGCTGGGATTACAGGCTTGAGCCATCGTGTCTGGCCTGTTTGTAGCTTTCTTAATATTATAATGATCAGGCAAATGCACTTTCCTAACCTCCTGCTATAGAGAACATAGTTGATTGATAAAGGCCCCAGTTGCTGTGGTTGAACTTTTTTTTTTTTTTTTGAGTTGGAGTCTCACTCTGTCGCCCAGACTGGAGTACAGTGGCACGCCCCGGCCACTGCAGCCTCGACCTGCTGGACTCCGGCGATCCTTCTGCCTCCTGCT